TCTCTCTCTCTCTCTCTCTCTCTCTCCAGTACTAACCTGTGAAGTTGGCGCCTTGATGCAGGTACCTCGAAGATGGAGCTGGAGCTATGGCGCCACAGGTAAGTATCGCTGGCCTCCGCCAGCCATCTCTCCCAACTCTRCTATCTACCACCTACTAGCGCCCAGCGCTGAAGACTACCGCTATGGCTACTAGCGCCCAGCGCTGAAGACTACTGCTAGCGCTAAGCTCCTCCTGGCAGCGTTCCTCCTGAGTGCTGCCGCCGAATCCTGAAGACTACTCCTGCCTACTGTCCAACTACCTACCTGGGAAGTGCATGGGAAACCCCTATGTACTACTCGGCCTGGACTGGCTGCAGGCGAGGCAGCAGTCCAGGAGGCTGCTCTTGCCAATGCCAGAGGCAGTCAGGGGCTGCCGCTGCAGCTCCTGCTCAAGGCAGTCGTGGGAACAGGCTAAAGATAGCCTGTTCCGAAAACCCTGTTTTTGTGCCTGAGTCTTAGGGTCGGTCGAAACAATGAGGGCCTGAAAATGGCCCTCCGTTTCAGGCTGAAAAGCCTCTGGGCCTGAAAGGCCCAGAAATAGGCTGAAAACGGAATAAAGCCTGCAGGCCCTCGTTTTCCTGTAAGCCCTATCTTCTAGGCTTTTAGGCTGAAAGTGCGGGACGGGCCCTGCAGGGCCCGTGTGGCTACGCAGTATGCCACACCCCCCCCTCCTTGAAACACCGAGCTTACCTGCGAGGGCGAAGCTGTCTGTCTGAGGGAGGGACCACAGTCCGGGTGGGAGGGGCCGGTCGTGAAGCTTCCTGAGCTAACCTTTGCTTCTCATAATGTGCGTAGATCAGCGGTGCGGATGCTTTCAAATCTGCTCCTGAAATCCACCGAGTGTCGTCGCGATCGCATGCTTTGAATGTRACTTTGTACTGTCGCGGCTTGCTGCCGTACTTGCGATCGGTGCTGACGCGGTCAACTTCCTGATGACCATCCATAGAAGGAGGGTCCTGCGATCGTCGGCCCGGAAAGTCGTCGCTCTTAGTTGCCGTGTATGTTGCCAGCTTCGAGGCGTGAAAGACCGGATGGACCGTTAGATGCGGGGGGATGTTGATCACAAATGAACTCATCGCCCGCGGCTGATGTTATGGGCCATGGTCCAAACCACTTGGGAAGCAGTTTGTGTGAGACATCCTGTTCCAGTGCAAACTCTTCCGCGGAAACCCAAACCAGGTCGCCGGCGAGGATGGGACATGGCACGCAATGCCTGTTGGCTTGCTGCTGCATGCGGACTTGAGCCTTTTGCATATTCGCTCGGGCTTGAGCCAGCAATTCCCTGTACTTCCGGATGGAAGCGGGAGAGCAAGCGACATCGATGTCGGCTGGTCGTGGGAGGAGAAGGTCGGCGAAGATACGGCCTTTCCGTCCACCGTGGTGCAACTCGAATGGAGTCACGCCGATCGCCGGGTGCACCGAAGTGTTGTAGGCGAACTTGATGTCGGGGAGGCGGTCAGCCCAATCTTTTTGGTCCGGACGGATGAGCGTACGAAGCATCATTTGAGCGGTTTGATGTGCCTGCTCCGTTTGCCCGTCCGTCCGTGGATGCCGAGCCGAACTTGGTTTCATCTTCGTGCCGGACTCCTGCATGAGAGCAGTCCAAAACGCCGACATGAAGCGAGTGTCGCGGTCGCTGACTATGTCTTCTGGTACACCGTGGCCACAAATCCAACCGGTGTGCAAGAGGCGTGCCAGCTCGGGAGCCGTGGAGTAGTACTTGCAAGGGAGAAAACGCGCGTACTTACTCAATCGGTCCATGACCGTGAGGATGCCGTCGTGTCCAAGGCGGTTGCGGGGGAATGGTCCGGTGACATCCATGGCAATGGAGAGACCGGGTTCCTGCGGGATCGACATCGGGCGCAGCTCGCCGTAGGGGTTGCGGTTGCGAGGTTTGCTTCGTCGGCAAACTTCGCAAGAGTCGCAATACCTCGTGACATCGGTGATGAGGTCGGGCCACCGGAATCGCTGTCGAAGCCGTGCAATAGTGCGGTTGACTCCGAAATGGTCGGCGAGTCGCGAATCATGATACTCGCTGAGGAGGCCCGTCCGAAGACGGCGGTCGCGTGGGACACATAGTAAGTCCTTGCCCCGCGAGGGCAGGAGCAAGTACCCATAGCCTGGTGGGTGATCCGAACATAGCTGCGCATATAGCGTGGTGAAATCTGGATCGGACTCATAGCCTCTGATGAAGTGTCGCTGGAGCTCCTCGTCGAATGCGAAGGCATGATGTGTCATAGCGCAAAGATCAGGTCTTCGCGAGAGTGCATCTGCTGCGCGATTGGAGAGGTCGGGCAGATGTTTCGGTGTGAAGTCAAATTGGTCGATGAAGTACATCCATCGTCCAATCGTGCTGCTCACCGTATCCTGCGTCTTGTAGTAGGTCAATGGATTGTTGTCCGTGACCCATGTGAACCTACGACGCCCAAGGAGGAAGTGCCGCCATCGCTTGAGAGACATGACGAATGCGAGCAGCTCCATCTTCCTTGCATCATCAAGCGAGTTGATGGGAGGCACTTTGTGGCTGAAATACTCCACAGGGTGCCAGTCGTCGCCGTCGTGCTGTTCCAAGACTGCCCCAATGCCATAGCCGGAAGCGTCAGTCATCACTCTCGTAGGCAAGGTGGGGTCATAGATGCTAAAGGACGGGTGCCATGAGCAGGGGCGTCTCGAGTGCTTGGAATGACCGACGTGCGTCGTCATCGAATACGAATGGCACCTTTGGCAATTGTAATCTCGTCATAGGTGCAGCAATCCTTGAGTATCCGGTGATGAATCGATGATAGTAGCCCGCCAACCCCATGAATGAACGAACGTCCGTGGTGTTGGTGGACTCGGGCCATACTCGTAGGGCCTCGATCTTGTCCGCAAGCGGACGGATGCCTTGCGGCGTCACATAGTGTCCCAAGTACAACTCCTGCCGCGCGAATTTGCATTTGTCGCGGTTGGCTTTGTGCTTGGCTTGTCGTAGCCGCTCCAAAACGGTGCGCAGGTGTTCCACATGCTCGTCCAAACTCCGGCTGTACACCAGAATGTCGTCGAGGTACATAAGTACGAATCGATCCAGCATGTGTCGGAACTCCGTTGTCATAGCCGCTTGGAAAGTGGTCGGGGCATTCGTAAGGCCAAATGGCATAACCAGCCATTCGAAATGCCCATATCGCGTTTTAAACGCGGTCTTGTAGCGATCCTCCTTCCAAATCTCGAGTTGGTGATATCCCGACTTGAGGTCCAGCTTGGAGAAAAACTTGGCGCCGCCCAGTCGTTCGAGAAGGTCGTCGATGCATGGGAGAGGGCCGGCGTTTCTGATCGTCTGCGCGTTGAGCTTGCAATAATCAATGCACAACCGCAAATCCTTGTTCTTCTTCCGGACGAAGAGAACAGGTGCACCATATGGCGATGAGCTAGGCCGAATCCAGCCTTTCTCCAGAAGGTCGTCGAGTTGTGCCCGAAGCACACTTAACTCTTCCTTGCTCATTCGGTAGATGCAACCGCGCGGAGGTACTGCCCCGTCCTTGAGGATGATCTCGTGGCGGATGGGTCGATCCGGTACTACTCCGTGCGGGCCTTCGAACACGTCGCCATAGGCGTCGAGAAGCTCGGTGATGCGTGGATCCGAAGATGAGTCCGTCGGTGAAGCGTCATGGGGCAGGAGGGCGTGGAGAAAACACACCCCCATCTCCTCGATGTCGTCTCTGATGATGGAAGCTCGCATGCTTGCGGCGGATACCACGTGACAACTGACTAAAGGGTGAGGAGGAGCTACCGTGCATGGGACCAGTACTCCGTTTCGATCACGAACGTGAACGGTGCGGCAGTAGAAGTTCACCGGGTGATCCTCGCTTCGCAGCCATGACATGCCCAAGATCATGTCGAATTTGGTGTCCAGAATGTCAAAGGACACTGCCTCACTTGTGTGAGGGGCAAAGCACACTGGGACGTCATCAATGCACCGGTCGATTGACTTGTGGGTGTGACCGTCCGCCAACGTGACTTGCGTAGGCTGGGACTTCCGGACTCGTGGGCCAAGGCCGACGCGTTCCATGAAGTCCTGACTCATGTAGTTGCAAGATGCTCCGCAATCGATCAAAGCGTTGCAGGTCGCCTCTCCGATCTGAATGCGAACATATAGCAATGGTGCATCGATGTCGTCGTACCGTTGCGTCTTGAACTCCCGGTCGATCTTCGCAATGTAGGCGTGAAGGTCGACAACCTCTACTCCGGCGTCCATCAACGGTGTCGGTACTGCAGTGTGCAAGTAATCCCGCAATTGTGCCTTGAGCACGTTGCAATGCGGTTTCGGCAATCGACCGGACCGGGGAAGCGGCATCCATTGGAAGTCCGGTTTCGGCAATCGACCGGACCGGGGAAGGGGCATCCATTGGAAGTCCGCAAATGTCAATGGGTCGAGCTCTTCAAGTCTTGACCATGACGTTGAATCCCCGGCGTTAGATGACGGAGAAGATGCCGAATCGGTTGCCGATGGTGATGAAACCGTGCATGCGGTAGATTGTTGCACGTGGAGCGGTTGGTCCAGCGGTGGGACCAAGTGGACAGCATAGTCCTCGTAAGCATACCGAGAACTTACGACATTCGCATCCTCCCCAAATGTGTGGGAGGCCGCTAGCAAGGCAGCCGAATCTGGCGGAGTGGGAGGTGGAGTCACCTCACCTCCCGCGAAACTCAGTTTCCCGAGTTGAGACGAGGCCGCACATCCTCCTTGGCCTGATCCTGGCAAAGGGAGGTCTTGTGCTTGGTGTTGTTGCACCAGTAACAACAGCTGTAACGGCCGCGGTACTTGTACTCGGCCTCGGTCAAGCCGAACTTGACCCATGGTGGTGCAGGCTGTCCATTTCCGGCCGGCGATGCTGATTTCGCCTTCCCGTTTCCTCGGGACTTGATGTTGCTTCGCGGCTGGACAACAGCCACCTGATCTCCCTCACATGACGCTTGGGTGGCTGCCGGGTCTTCCACAGTGTTGTCCGATTGGACTGCAGCGAACTGCTGCTGTCGCGGACCAGTTCTCACCTTCTCCACATAGGTTGGCTGCCACGCTGACCTCTCGTGTGCAGCCGCCCTGTTGGTCTTGATGATCTCTCTTGCCTTGTCAATAATCTCGGCGAAAGTTGCATACTGCTCGCAATCACCAAGTGCCTGGCTCAATGCAGCGCATGACCTATTGTAGAACTCACAGCGCAGATGAGGAAATGATAAGTCAAGATCGGGCGTTGCCGCGATCTTCTGCCATTCCGTGAGCCAGTCACGTGTTGTTGTGTTGCCTTGAGTCATGGTGAAGAGACGGTTGACGGCGAGTGCTGGTGCGTCGTCGACGATGAACCGCTTCTTCCACAGCCGTGTTAACTCTTCCCATGAGATCTTGTCTTTCAGATCTGCGACGTCGACGCCGTGGGTGGCTGCTGACGTGGCACTGTTGCTGACGTGGCACTACTGACGTGGCACTGTTGCTGATGTGGCACTGCTAACGTGGCACTGCTGACATGGCACTGTTGCTGACGTGGCACTGCCGACGTAGCACTGCTGACGTGGCACTGTACCAACTCGGAAATGCATGCAAAAGGGTGGGTGGGAGGGAAAACGTAGGTAGGCAACCAACCCAACAATACTTTCCTCCGGCCCTAATCAACAGATAAAAAAATAAAAAAAATAAAAGAGCACTACATCCCTTTTTTTTTTTTTTTTTTATATCTGTCGATCTATTATGAGTGAGACATGTCAGAAGAGTACTATGAACGAGATCTAGGCTAGGTTCCGCAAAGTTTCGGCTTTCACAAAATGCGATTTTGAAAAAAAAAAATTTTGCGAAATGGAGTAAAGATGCGATTTTCAGAAAAGAACGAAATCCAGTTTCTGAGAATATGGCAATCTCCGAATATGCCTAACAAAATGTTGGTAGGCTTCACAAGATTTCGGTTTTCAAAAAAAAATTTGCGAGATAGAATGGAAATTCGATTTTCAGAAAAGAATAATTCCAGTTTCCGAGAATATGACCACTTCTATCGTTATCCCAATATGCTTAAACGAAATACTAACATCAGAAATTTTCAGCTATGTATGCGAAATATCAGAGACGAAATGCTACTAACAGGAATTTTCAGACAAAACGAAATGGGATTTATCAGAATTTTTCAGATATTTGTTACGTGAAAACGAAATACCAATATCAGAAATTTTCAGGTAAAACAGAATGCGAATATCAGAAATTTCGGATAGTTGTTGCAAGAAAAAATTTCAGAGATTTGACGAAGTCCTACTTGATTTACTAATGAGTGATCCATAGATCAAGCAAGCAGGCTACTTGATTGAGCGGGTCCTCTGAATGAGAGGTCCGCTCCGATACCAAACTGTTGCATACTGTAACGGTGCAGACCAGAACAAGAACCGACCTCTCAATACAAAGTACAAGATAGCGTAGCGGAAGACTTAGATACCAATGATCCGAACAATCAATATTGCAATGCAGCGCTGAACATACATCATCATCATCGTTCCATGGTGTGAAAGGGGTCTGGCGCTTCACACAGGAAGACTGCGCCAGCCCCAACCATACACAGACGAAGGAGATGGGGGTTAGACGAAGAAGAGGGGAA